AGTGACATTAACAATTGGTTCGAAAACAAATCAATTAGAGGAGGTGAGAGAAAAGTATGGAAAAAAAGTTTCATTTCCTGAAAAAGTTGCAAGAAAAAATTATTGCAACTTAATCGCTTTTATAACATTTTTTCCAATTCAAATAAATAATATTATCTATAAATTTTCTTAGAATTAAAGGAAAAGGAAAGGAAAATTTTTTCAAATTGCGAAATAATTTTTTGTTTCTTCTTTGCCAAATTAAAATTAAAGAACGAAGAAATTCAAATTCAGAAAAAACGAATAAAAAGTATTTGATAAAAAAATTCTTGAAAACATTTCATTAAAATATACTTTCTAATAAACGAATCAATTGTTTGTAATTGCTATTGACCACTCCTATTGTTTACAATTTTAAATTTTTCGTATTCTATTGAATTAAAAGTCATAAATTTAATTTGGCTGTTTTTTTTTGCTCATCGATTTTAATCAATCTTATCTCTAATGAGTTTGCTAGAATTATTACGAATTAAAATTAAACGCACCCGTTTATCGAGACAAATAACACAGGTGGGTATTTTATTCAGTGTTGATCGTACTTCATCACGTTCCAGACGAATTTGCTCAATTAATTGTTCGGCTTTTCGCATTTCATCATAACAATTTCCGCATTTCTGGAGATCAGCTTCCTTTTCGGCTAACTGCAAAAAAAGAAAGAATTGAATTTTGAATGAAAAATAAAAAATATTTTTTAGTGATTATTATTGCATGAAATGAAAATATGTACTTTCAAGTATATTCGTACAATCATTATTTTATATAATTGCATGAATATACTTGGAAGTGCCATAACACAGGTAAATATGTTATTTAGTAAATTGAAAAAATTAGTAATTTCCAAATGGATAATTGCTTTGAAACAAAAAACAGAGCAAAAAGGAGGAAAATTATTATAAATAGAAAGGATTTTATTTTAAAATGAATGATACTGATTTGTTGGTTGTCATTACCATTTTATTAAAAAATTGGAAACACTATAAAAACAAAGTTCTCAAACATCCTTGCTATTATTACCTGTTGTTTTAACCCATCAATTTCACTTTGAAGGTTGGCAGTTTTCTCAAATGCTGGTTTACTCGCATCTTCAGCAGCCTTCAATTTTGAGAAAAGTTCACTGATACACTGAAATAAATGAAATGAAACGAAATCAAATTTAAAAAATTTCATTAATATTTCTATATTTCTGTTAAATAGGTATTGATAGGATGATATTAGGCATTTCAAAGTTATATGTAAAATATAATCATAGAGCTAAATGTTAATTAGCAGTGAATAGAAAGGCGGAATAATCATTAAATATGATCATAAAATGCGAATGCTAATTTATTCAGTGCAAAACTTGAGAATTTCTCTTTCCCGAGAAGAAAGTTAGGCTGATAGAAGAAATGAAAAAAATTGTTTCACAAATGTATGGATAATAATTTCAGTAGTAAATATTTAGTAATACAAAGAATAAATTCGTTGATAATCTTTGAACTATGGTGATAGGCTGTTACATTCATTTTCTCGTTTGTCTATGAAATTTATCTAATCATTTAAAAGTTTTTAAGCTAAACATAATGACAGATTTATTCTTGTCATATAAAAACTTTTTTGATAATATTTCAAATTGATGCAAATTTTCTCGTAGGATTTCAATGAAACTTACCTAAATTTGTTCAACAGTTTGTTTATTATTGAAAATTTATTTAAAAATAAATTACTATATCTTTTTCTCGGATTTCATTTTCGTGTTGTTTTTTAACAATTTCAGCTTGCTCCGTCAAAACACGAATTTGATCACTTTTACTCTTACTTTCGAGTAACTGAAATTATTTTTATTGACAAGAAAAAGCTAAGAAAGAATAAAAGTTCAAGTCGAAAATAAAATCAGTCTTAAATTTTAGGACAATGTTTCGAAAAAAAAATTTTATTTAAAATTTAATAAACAAAAATAGAAATTTTGTCAACAGTAGCAGTGCTGACAAGTTTTAAAAGCATATATAATGGGCAATATTAATTATTCAAATTTTTTATAATGTTAATTATTGTCTTTTTGCTTTCTAATATCTCAAAAAAAAAATTAAATCCTAATAATAAAACCTAATTTTTCAACCACTATGAAAATTTTTTGTGTTTTATAGACGAGAATTGGCAGTAACGACAAAAAAGAAAAAGTTTGAAAATACCTTTAAGGTAAATGCAAATTACAAAAATTGGGATTTGCAAAACTAGAAGAATTTCAAATTTCCTATAATTCATAGCTATCTTTTTTTTCGTTTTTTTCAATAAATCTGTTCAACAAGAACAAACGAAAAATAAAAAATAAAACGAAATAAATATAACGCTGTTCCAATAAGTAATAATAATTTACTTAAAAATAAATAATTTTAAAATAGTAAGTAAATAAGCAAGCTGAAAAAATTGGAATTATCAGGAAAGCATACGTATAATGATAACTTGTTTTCCGAAGAAAGTTTATAAATCTTTACTTTGAGAAAATATTTTTTTCGGCCTACAAAATAATATGCTAAGTAACCTTTTTCAAACTTAAATAAAATTTTCCGCAAAATAAATTTGCAAAAAATAAATAATAAAAGGATTAGTTATTATTTTATCAAAAGATGATTAATTGGTAACACCACTGATACACTTCCTATTAATTAATTTGAAATGAAATACTGAATTTTTTACTTCATTGTCCAGTTTTACTTTCATTAATCGGAGTTGTTCATCAGCCGCAGTACGTGTGCTTAATTGAGCTTTTAGCAATTCTATTTCGGAATCTTTTTCCAGAAGTCGAACTTGAAGAATTGCTTGATTATCCGCAAATTGTCTGCATCTTTCCTATATTTAATTTTAATATTAATTCAGGAATTTTATTATAAAAGTTTTGAATTAGTCTAATAATTTTTTTAACTAAGATTGTAATACAATTGATTTATTATTGTTTAAAACAATAACTCATTTTTTGTCTTTCTTTTGTCAAAATTCAGAATCTTCTTTTTGGAAAGTTTTTTTTAAATAAGAACTGAATTCTTTCATTGAACGCTTAAAAGAACTGTAGCTTGTTTGTTTGTTTTTTTTTTTTTTTGAAGAATGTGACAAATGTAGAATAAAAAGTTATTTTCTGTAATGTAATTGTATTACTATACTTCAAGAGCACGAATTGACCGCGTCGATTCATCATTAAAACTTTTCTGCTCCTTTTCAAAAGCATCAAGTAGTCGTTGCAATTGAAATTGTGGTAGACTCGAACGATATTCGTAAAAAGGTGACGTTATCATTTCTTGAAATTTATAAAGTTATAAAATTTGAAAAGCAGATTTGCAATCATTTCAAATAAAATGAATTTGATATAATTTTTAAGGAAATGTTTTTTTTTTTTAGAATTTAAATTTCTTCTATTTTCGTATTTCCTTTTATTTCATTGCCTTTTCTCCTGTTTATCAAAAAATTTATTTGTTAATTTCATCTATGTTTGGTGACACTTTATTACACTAGCTGAAATATCAATGTTAGCTAGTGACTTTGAAGAAATTGAAAAGTCAATGATTTAGATATATTTTATATTCTTGTAAAATAGACATAAAAATGATTGACGAAAATTTTTGTTTACTTAACCGTATTCAACTCTTTCTTTTTTTTTTTGTTTGAAACGCAATTTTAATTAATAAACCTGTTGATTTGCGAATTGTTGGCGATGTACTATGAAATGATATAGCGCGACGAATGCCTGAACCCGATGTGTGTGATGGTGAACTGTGTGCATATTTACTGTAAATTTGTAATTAATTCATCTGCAATTTTCTCAAATTATGCAATCATTTTAATCATTTTGTAATTTTAAATTTGATACGACAAATATGCTTTACTTCAAATTGCCGTTAAGATGAAAGATTTATTTTCAGGTAGCTAAATTCAATATGCTTATACTTATCTATCATTATGTCATAAACACATTTATTTATAAATTAGCAATGACTTAGGCTAAATTGTATTTGCATTGTTCAGTGAATTAAACATACTCTGTATAGTCTATGAAGTAATTAATTGTTTAAGGCTAAATTGTATTTATATAGTTCAATGAACTAACTCATATGATTTTAGTGGAAGTGAAGAGCGATTGCAAAATGCAAAACGAAAACAGCAATTGGACAACCTTCGATCCAAATTTTCATCGCTTTCATTCCTCAACTGAATGATTCTTTCGTAATCTTTGCTCATTTCGGATCCGGTACCCGCAGATCCGGTTGCTTCACACATTCGTTGCACTCGCGCTAACATATCAATCATAGCGTTTGTTGATGAAAATGCTCGATATGACTGCAAAAGTGATTTCAAATTGCTACATTAAATAATTGCATGTAAAGTTAAAATCTGATTTAATGTTTATTTCATTTTTGAATTTATATATTAAATTAAAATTTATTTACGAGTTTTTTTCTTCCCATTATATTAGAAATAATTACTGTTTTAGGGAATGTATATTAATGAAATCATTCATATCTTTTCATTTCACATTTATTATTATTCAAACGTTATACTCACATTGAATACATTTGCCGCACCT